CCATGCAAAAATACCCAGAGGACACCCACGTTCATTTGTACATATAGGTACAGTAATGCAGTATGACCCTGTGCAGGGTATCCCAGTGTGCTCAGTCTCCTTTAATGCTGTTTGTATGTTTTACATTTCCTGTGTGTGTGATGAGACTGGCAGCCCAGCTAATATGCATGCTTGCTTATCCTCCATTAGCCCCTGGGCCTGTAAGGTTATATGGCTTGAAAAAGTTAAAAAAATAAGAGACCCAGGGTGATTAACTTAGTCCCAGCACTTGGGAGAGGAGAGCAGGAATTGGTGACAAGAAGGGTGCTAATCGGGTGAATCCCGATCCGCAGAGCGAGCGGGAAGGCGGCCGAAGTTGCGCGACGGAACTCGCGGTCGCGGGTCTGTAGAGCGGGGAAAAAACAGAACCGACCCGGCCTCCCTCCACCCGTCCCCACACCCTCCCTGTGTGTCTATGAGGCGGGTCCGTGGAGCGCACGCGGCACGGGCAGCTGTGACGCTCGCGGACCGCACAGCAAACAGGATAAAACAGTAAATCTCGATACAGTATGAAATCTAGTAAAGAGGGAAGGGGACAGGCATAGGAGGTCCAGGGAAAACAATTATAGATAAAGGTAAAGGTCAAACAAATCCAAGAAACAGTTCAAAGTCTAGTATATACCCAGAGAGGTAAAATACTCTGACCTGTGTAGGCTGGAGCGGCAAAGAAAGAGGAAGTGATGTCATAGACAGGGCCTTTTATGGACACCATATCTTTTCTCTGATTGGTTGTTACTGTTTCTATGCTGCTGGAGTTTTCAGTAAAGAAAGATATGCAAATATGAAGCCTCCTGTCATGTTGTAAAATTACTCCTGACCGGTGTGCACATCTGATCTGCAACTACAGGAAATGATTGGTTGAAGTTATTGCTGCCAAAGGAAGTTCAACCAGTTATTAAATCCAAGGGTTCACATACTTTTTCCACATGCACTGTGAATGTTTACATGGTGTGTTCAATAAAAACATGGCAACATGTCATTCTTTGTGTGTTTTTAGTTTAAGCAGACTATGATTGTCTATTGTTGTGACTTAGATGATGATCAGATCACATTTTATGACCAATTTGTGCAGAAATCCATATCATTCCAAAGGGTTCACATACTTTTTCTTGCAACTGTGTGTGTGTGTATATATATATATATTTTTTTTTTCAAAAATATATATAAAAATCCAACATTCTAAACCGCTCAAAAGGACACTACTTGACATTTCTACCCTCCAAGCTACACATTGAGTAAGCTACTACAGCTTACTCAATGTGTGTATATGTGTATATATATATATATATATATAATATATCTCTTGCTTGAATGATGAGTAGAACAAAAAAAAAAAAAAAACTTTTTATTTTTTTTTAAATATTCTATAAAATGTTGAAAAGTTTAAATTCTGCATTTATGCCAAATGGGGTAAAAAAAATAAATCAAGTTATAAACTCAGAACATTTCCTTGTTAGTGATTTTTTTTCAACAGTTCTCTACCTCGCCATGGTACATTAACCTTTTGTATGCCACTATATTGTAAGCATGCTAGATCCCTTGCAATCTGTTCAGCAAAATGTTTAGATAACATGTTTATCAAATCCCCTCCTCACATTGTAAACATGTTAACCTAGTCTAACTTTTTTGCATTCTTTTTGTTTGGTCAACATATTGCATCCCACAAGGGCAGCTTAATAAATAGAGGACCTGTTTTGTATGACATGTTATACAGTCCTTAATCTCAAAATAAATTTTAGTAACAGAGTATTGAACGTTAGTAATTTTTCTATATGGGGGGTCCCACTGTGGGATACCTTTATGGGGACAGGGGGTTATACTTGTTTTAGATAAATACAGTGTTGCACTATATATATATTTTTTCCCGTATCTTTCAAGGGAAGTGGAAACATCTCTAACTTGATAATCAGGATACAAGCAACACTGGACTTGGATATTTTAAAACATTGGCAGTTATCCCACCCAAATACCCCCCAGAAATTTGGAACATTTCTTAATGTACATTTGTTCATTTGTTTTGACATTTGTTTGCATTAATACCTCTGAATATATTTTAATTTAAGGGCTTTATCCACTAAGCGCTATCACTTATTGTATGTAGATTGTATTTTATTGTAAATTAGGGGATTTTGATTATGTGCTTAGCTGCTTACATATTGTAATTTGCAGAATTTATGTTTATTTCTATTGTGTATATATTGATTGTTTTGCGCTCTTAGTTATTTGGAATATGTTAATCTTAATGAATTCATGCTTTGTATGTTTTCCCCCCCATTTAGACCACTTCACTTAATATGCTCTGAATGTAAAAGCTCTTCTATTAACTGGAATGAAAGATTTTCTGTGCAGGTTTTATGTACGTATTGTAGTGAATTTGATCAAATTTCATATTTTTGGAATCTATACTGGATTAATGCAACAGAGTCTAACACTTTAGAAGGTAAGTTGTGTAAAGGTATTATTCTACCGGTTTCTTTTATTGCAATTGTTATACTATAAATGTGTGTAGTAAGAGGTGGTAATATGCAACTATTAAAAGACTTACATTTTTGAATTTCCATTTTAGTGATATTTGAATTTTAGCTTTAGACAGCATTTGTGGACTCTTCATTAACCCCTTCGTGACATGAAGACTTCTGTGCAGTCCTCTACAGAGTGGGCTTTGAAATGTTTAGGACAATATGGAACATCGTAAAGTTTGGTTTGATCAAAAACCAAAAAAAAATTTTAAAAAAAATTAAAACTTTGCTAACACCAGGAGTGGGCTCCCCCTTTTTAGTGGTCCCAGACAGATCGTTGAGCTGGATAAAGTGCTCAAAGTGAGTGCTGTATACATCTCTTTAACCCCTTAAGGACCAAACTTCTGGAATAAAAGGGAATCATGACATGTCACACATGTCATGTGTCCTTAAGGGGTTAAATGAACATTTAAATATCTATATAATTCAGTGTGACCAGAGTTAACTCCCTGTGTACACCAGTAAAACCAGGTTTTATTAGATACTTGGGGCTCCCCTTTGGAGCCATCTCACAGACTGACCAATGAGATGTATACAGCATTGAAAGTCAGTGCTTCTACATCCTTATAAATTCTTTCAGAACATTACAGCTGAGTGATCATGTTCAGACACCCCACTATCTGTTAGGGCAAGGTAAGATTTAATGCTGAGCTTGTTATGCTGTTCTAGGGTTTGGAATAGTGTATGATAAAGTGTAAGATTAGGGTAGGCATTTGATTCATTTTAGTGTAAAAGCATAGGGTAATGGTTATGGTTGGTATAATGTTTGGGGGGGGGGTTCGTATGTTTGGGGAGGTTAGTGTTAACTAACAAAAATGTATTTTGATCTTAGAAATATTAGCTATCAGTGCCCACAATCAGGGCTAATATGTGAATCTACATTGAGTTGTTTTGATTTAGTTACATTGGAGGTGTGAAACATTATTAGCAACCATTTTTATTTTATACATTTAGATCAGGTATACAAATAGGATATTTTAAATGAAAACCCTTTATGTGCTTTAAAAATCAATATATTATATGTATATGGGCACTTAAACGAAAAATTATTAAATTATGGTAGTAGAAAAGCATAGTGCAGATTCTAGGTTTTGTTTTGGTCCAGATCATGGGCAATTATTCTGTCCTTAAAGGGTTAAGTTATATAAACACATCAAGCTCCACCACAATGTTGAATCATTGAAAATCTGCTAACGCAGAGAGTACCCTACACTCACTCTTAGCACCGAGAGTGGTTTTGGACTGCAGCAAAAAATGCTGTTACTCTTTGCTGTTCTTCAGAGCTGTAAATAAGGCAGCTGGAATGCAAAGTGCAGGCTTCCTAGTATCAGTTATGTTCATACAATTTAGGATGAGCTGTTGCATTCGTACACCCAGTTTTATTGAAAAAGTAAATGGGGCTGTGTGTAAACTGATAGAAGTTACTGCATCAGTTAATTCATTAAAGCGGCACTGTCATCCACCTGAAACATAAGTATTTCAAAGTGGTAGAATCTTTATTAAATTTTAATTTCACTGAAATTCCAATCCAGTCAAGAAATATACATATACAAAGAAATATACATATACTTCTTCACCTGACTTTCTTAAACTGCGGGTGAAGTCTAAGTGTCAATCCTGACAGCCAACACCACTGACAGCTGCAGGGAATTAGCTGTGTCTATGGAGGATCCCGCAGTATGTTGTGTTCTCACAAATGTGCAAGAATACAGCAGTGATGTTGGCTCCTGGTGCTGAAGAGGAACAGACTGAGGAAGATGGTGGCACCCGTGAGGGCAGGATCAGTAAGTAAATCTTACCATTGCCACCGGACCCCCAGCGGCGATGTCAATATTGGAAGTCTGAGAATTCTACAAAGTCTCTAGACGGGGACAGTGCCACTTTAACATATTTTTGCATTGTTAATGCATTGTCTATTCAGTGCGTTAAAAATGATTGAGGGTGATTTTCCCTCTTTATTTTTCTCTTAGTATATTCATTTTATTTTAGTAAAGCTCAGATATGTATCCTGATGAAAATTTTTACATTTAGAATTAAAACGGATAAAAAAAAATATATACTATAATTCTACAGGATACAATACAAATAAACTAATTCTCATTTGCAGTTCCATTTTGCAAAGTGCTTGAAACTAAGGCATCTCATACTATAATCGGAGTTGAAATGGATATTCCATCAAATGACAATGATGCAGCGCCAACAAAAAAAGAATTCCAAAGAGAAACAGAAATTGAGGGACTGAAATACCTAGTGCATAGATCTGATGAACAAAACTATGAATCTGAAGTCAATTCAAAGAATTATGCAGTGAGCAATGCTCCCTTATCAGACATAGATTATTTTAAAGATGCCAAGAAAGACTCTTCATCCAATTTAAACATGTTGAACATACTTTTCCCTCATACCAACATACTAGAGGATAGTTCGGGAGTGAGACTAAATGGAGAAAGTATGTCCAAGGATATAATTTCCCTTACTTCAGGTACTACTAATATGCTTAATATGTTATCAACTTTTTTTGTGTATGTTGCAATATGAGTGGTTTCAATTTCAGTATTCAATATGTTTGTGTGTTACATAACTGAGGACTTTTATAAAACAGTCACTTCAGTTAACACTTTTGTTAATAGTTCTTGTTTCTAAGGAACACTATAGTGTCAGGAATACAAACATGTATTCCTAATCCTACAGTGTTAACCCCTTAAGACCGGAGGGCGTACTAGTACGCCCTATTTTAGGCGGCTCTAAACGCCGCCGGGCGTAATAGTACGTCCTCAGGTCTTTCTTTACTTACCCGGTCGCCGGCGATCGCGGTTGGGGGGACTCCCAGGAAGCCCCCCCCGTGGCACGTCCAACCCCCTGGCAGCCCACATGGCCGGGATAGCTGCCTGCTGTATTGCCAGCAGGGGGGCTGCCTGTAATGACAGGTGGTCCCCCGCTGGCTGGAAATAAAATAAAATTGAAAAAAGTTAAAAAGTGTAAAAGAAAAAATTATTTATATATATATATATATATACACACACACACACACATATATATATATATATATATATATATATATATATATATATACACACATACATACACTGTCTAGGTGTATTTTACATATATATATATATATATATATATATATATATATTATTACACGTAGACTGATATTGATTAAATATATACAATTATTGTTATATATTTATTATTAAAAAAAAATATGTAAATACGTTAAAAAATAAATAATTAAAAAATATATAGATGTGTGCTATTTCGTTCTAACTGTATTGTGATATTAATATATATTTATATCAAAATACACGTAGAACTAAATAATATATATATACGTATATATCACTATATATACCTATATATAAATAAAAAAAATTATATACACACACACATACATTAATTCTACATATATATTTATGTAATATTTTTACATAATTAGGTATCTTAATTAATTACAATTAGCGGGACCTGTCTGACAACCCATGCCGAAAGTAAAGGGAATTTAATTTGCTAGCACTATATTTAACCCTATAACTTTCCAAGACACCATAAAACCTGTACATTGGGGGTACTGTTCTACTTGGGAGACTTCGCTGAATACAAATATTAGTGTTTCAAAACTGTAAAATGTATTACAATGATGATATCGCCAGTAAAAGTGATGTTTTTTGCATTTTTCACGCACAAAAAGCACTTACACGGACAATATTATTGCTGCGATACTTTTTACTGTTTTGAAACACAAATATTTGTGTTCAGCGAAGTCTCCCGAGTACAACAGGTACAGGTTTTATGGTGTTTTCAAAAGTTACAGCGTCAAATATAAGGCTTGTGTTTCATTTTTTTCACATTAAAATTTGCCAGATTGGTTACGTTGCCTTTGAGACCCTATGGTAGCCCAAGAATGAAAATTACCCCTGTGATGGCATACCGTTTACAATAGTAGACAACCCAAGATATTGCAAACGGGGTATGACCAGTCTTTTTTAGTAGCCACTTAGTCACAAACACTGGCCAAAATTGGCATTTTTCATACACAAACAAATACTAACGCTAACTTTGGCCAGTGTTTGTGACCAAATGGTTACTAAAAAAAACTGGATATACCCCATTTGCAATACCTTGGGTTGTCTACTATTGCAAATGATATGCCATTATGGGTTTAAATTTCATTCCTGGGCTACAATAAAGTCCCAAAGGCAACGTAACCAATCTGGCGAATTTCAATTTGAAATGTAACGTGCTATATTTGACCCTGTAACTTCCCAAAATGCCATAAAACCTGTACATAGGGGGTACTGTTTTACATGTGAGACTTTGCTGAATACAAACATGTATATTTTATTGCAGTAAAAGCAAACAGTATTATGACATTGACCGTTAAAACGTCATGTAGAACAAAAAAAAAAAAAATTCTTATTTTTTTCATATTAAATTATGTTTCATAGCTACATATTTGATATTAAATGAAAGCCCTGTTTCCCCTGAATAAAATGATATACAGTGGCAAGAAAAAAGTATGTGAACCCTTTGGAATGATATGGATTTCTGCACAAATTGGTCATAAAATGTGATCTGATCATCATCTAAGTCACAACAATAGACAATCACAGTCTGCTTAAACTAAAAACACACAAAGAATGAAATGTTGCCATGTTTCTATTGAACACACCATGTAAACATTCACAGTGCAGATGGAAAAAGTATGTGAACCCCTGGATTTAATAACTGGTTGAACCTCCTTTGGCAACAATAACTTCAACCAAACGTTTCCCGTAGTTGCAGATCAGACATGCACAATGGTCAGGAGTAATTCTTGACCATTCCTCTTTACAGAACTGTTCCAGTTCAGCAATATTCTTGGGATGTCTGGTGTGAGTCGCTTTCTTGAGGTCATGCCACAGCATCTCAATCGGGTTGAGGTCAGGACTCTGACTGGGGCATTTCAGAAGGCATATTTTCTTCTGTTTAAGCCATTCTGTTGTTGATTTTACTTCAATGCTTTGGGTCATTGTCCTGTTGCAACATCCATCTTTTGGTGAGCTTCAGCTGGTAGACAGATGGCCTTAAGTTCTCCTGCAACCAACACCTCCAATCTCATCTCATTGATTGGACTCCAGTTGGCTGACATCTCACTCCAATTAGCTCTTGGAGATGTCATTAGTCTAGGGGTTCACATACTTTTTCCACCTGCACTGTGAATGTTTACATGGTGTGTTCAATAAAAACATGGCAACATTTCATTCTTTGTGTGTTATTGGTTTAAGCAGACTGTGATGGTCTATTGTTGTGACTTAGATGATGATCAGATGACATTTTATGACTAATTTGTGCAGAAATCCATATAATTCCAAAGGGTTCACATACTTTTTCTTGCAACTGTAGTTTAGGGATTACTGGTTTAGTCTGTTTTAGTATAAAAAAAAATAAAAATAAAAAATTGGTGTTTAGTTAGTCTGTTAGTGTGAAACATGCAGCGCATGTACAGCTTGGAGGTGGCATATGCCTTCTTGGCATCAGACTCTGACGCCACTGATACTGCGTCCGATTTTGACCCAGGTCAGTTTAGCGACATGTCTAGTGACATGTCATCTGTGTGTGAGCCAGCTGCTAAAAGAAGCTGTGCTTCCCCTGCTACACTGAATGTGGAGGAGGACTGGGTACCTCCACAGTCAGCTGAGCCCAACATCCCGCCTTTTAGTGCCAACGCAGGCATTAATGTGAATGTGGATGACTTCTCCCATATACAATATATGGAGTTATTTTTAGGGGATACCATCTGGGAGGAGATTGTTTCCCAGACTAATTTATACGCTAGCCAATTTACTGAGACCAATCCAGGTAGCTATACAGTCAGGGAGCATGCTTGGCATCCCAGAGATGTCCCTGAACTTAAAATCTGGGCTCTTACAATGCTCATGGGGATAATAAAGAAGCTATCAATCCGCTCTTACTGGAGCACCAACCCAATTTGTTCGACTCCTATATACTCCCAAACAATGCCTAGACCAAGATATGAGCTGCTGCTGAGATACTTACATTTCAACGACAATACCCTCTGTCATCCCAGAGATCACCCTCAACATGATAGGCTTCATAAAATACGCCCACTGGTCGACCATCTTCAGAACAGATTTTCTGAAGTTTATACTTCCCAACAAAATTTACCTATTGATGAATAGTTAATGAAATATAAAGGGAGATTAGGATTCAAACAATACATCCCCTCAATGCACTCTAGGTATGGCGTAAAATTCTGCAAACTGTGTGAGAGCGAAAGTGGCTATAAATTTGCCTTTCGTGTATATGAGGGGAAAGATGGTCAACTGGACCCTCCTGGCTGTCCTGACTTTCTGGGGACAAGTGGGAAACTTGTTTGGAACCTACTGATCCCCTTGTTCAATAAAGGTTACCACCTTTATGAGGACAATTTGTATAGCATTGTCCGTTTGTTTCAAACTCTTTATGGTTTGCAGATACTGGCCTGTGGCACTGTGAGAAGGAATGTCAAGGATTTCCCTAGACCTTTTATAGAGGCCAAATTAAAAAAAAAAGAAAAAGGTGAATGTAAAGGTCTGCGCTAAAGTGCTTGCAATAAAATTTAAGGACAGGAAGGATGTTAATATACTTACCACCATCCATGACGAAAGCATGTCAGACCTCACTATCCGAGGCAGAGTACAGACCAAACCTGTTTGCATCAGGGCTTATAACAGGCACATGGGGGTGTTGATTTGGCTGATAAGCTGATGCAGCCATATCTTATCTTAAGAAAGACAAAAGCCTGGTATAAAAAGGTGGCTATCTACCTGTTGCAAGTAGCAACACATAATTAATTTTTACTCTTTAAAAAAATGAATCCAGATTAACACCGGAAAACGAATGGGCTCTTGCACGAGCCACACCTTGTACATTGCCTACTCCATACCGTTGCAAAATAAAGAATTATTTAAAAAAAAAAAAAATGAATCCAGAAAGAATCACCTTTCTCCAATTTCAGTTCAAGCTGATTTCCACAAAAATTTATGGAGATGGTCAAGTTCCTCTGGCACATGTTTCAACGGTGCCAGAGGAGTCCAGACATTTTATTTTTAAGATACTGCCAACTGCAATAAAAAACATCCCCTGAAACGCTGCCGGGTCTGTTATAAAAAAGGGAAAAGGACAGACACCCCTTAGCACTGTTTTCTTCTTTTGAAAGCAGCAATTTTTAGTCCGTTTCCTTCCCCCAAATCTCCAGTTAGATTATTTTTGCAGGAGTTAGTTTAAAGAATGCTGCTAAATGTGCACTTGATACCTGCACATTTGGTTAAAAATATTTTATGGCGGTAACACATAACAGGCTGGCCAAAACCAGATGACGTGTGCATAAAAAAAAGCAGAATTCAAAAATTACCACCATGCACGTTCTCTGAAATTTGTTTAGCAAAATGGTTGGGGGAAGGATGTGAAAACACCCCATAAACAATACCCTGGAATGTCTACTTTATAAAAATATAAACTTTCATAATGTTAACATTAAAGGACCACTATAGGCACCCAGACCACTTCAGCTTAATGAAGTGGTCTGGCTGCCTGGTCCAGGTAGGTTTAACCCTTTTTTTTTATAAACATAGTTTCAGAGAAACTGCTATGTTTACCTATGGGTTAATCCAGCCTCTAGTGGCTGTCTCACTGACAGCCGCTAGAGGGCTTCTGCGCTTCTCACTGTGAAAATCACTGCGACTGGCTGAATGCGCAAGCAGCTCCTGCCGCGCGTGCACATTCAGCCGAAGAGGAGGAGAGGAGGAGGTGAGCTCCCCGCCCGGCGCTGGAGAAGGAGGTAAGTTTAACTACTTCTTAACCCCAGAGCCCGGCGGGAGGGGGTCCCTGAGGGTGGGGGCACCCTCAGGGCACTATAGTGCCAGGAAAACGAGTGTTTTCCTGGCACTATAGTGGTCCTTTAACTGGGGGATGCAAAAATATGCCAAACTGAAGATAGGCCAAGCATACCTATATATCAAGTTGAAAAACTGATATGTACAAGTCTCGATCGTGGCCTTTTAGCCCCCCAAACAACCCAGCAAACCTATGCATGGGTGATATCACTGTACTCAGGAGATGTTGCTGAACACATATTGGGGTGTTGTTTGGCAGTGATACATAACAGGACCTGTTAATTCATGCCTAAAGTACAATGTGTGTGTAAAAAAAATAAAAAAATAAAATAAAAATTACTACCCAAAAGTTTGCCAAAGGCTGGTGGTAGAACTAGTGCATGAAAAGTGTTAAAATACCACCATTTGAAATACCCTGGGTTGTCTACTTTTCAAAAATATATGGTTTTATGGGGGTAAAATACATTGGCCCAAATAGGACAGGGGCGCAGGATTAGTACATGTCAAAATTCCAAGTTGGAAAATGGATATATGCACCCTCCAAATAAGGTCTTTTAACCTCCAGAGAACCAGACAAGCCTATGCATGGGTGGTATCGCTGAACACATATTGGGGTGTTGTTTGGCAGTGATACATAACAGGACCTGTTAATTCATGCCTAAAGTACAATGTGTGTGTGAAAAAAGATACAAAAACAATTACTACCTAAAGGTTTGACAAAGTCTGGTGGTAGAATTAGTGCATGGAAAAGTGTTAAAATACCACTATTTGAAATACCCTAGGGTGTCTACTTTCCAAAAAATATATGGTTTGGTGGGGATAAAATACATTGGCCGGCCTTACAAATGTCCCAAATAGGACATGTGCACAGGTTGACTACATGTCAAAATTCCAAGCTGGAAAATGAATATGCACACCTGCCAAATGTGGCCTTTTAGCCCCCAAACAACTCGACAAGCCTATGCATGGGTGGTATCACTGTACTCGGGAGATGTTGCTGAACATGTGTTAGTGTGTTTTTTGGCAGCAACACATAATAGGATCTGTGAGTTTATACCTGAATTGCAATGTATGTGAAAGAAAAAAAAAATCTATGTGAAGTTTGGCAAAGACTGGTGGTAAAATGGCTGCATAGAAAGTGTCAAAATATCCTTAGATGAATATCCTGGGTTGTCTACTTTAAGAAAATATATACATGTGGGGTTTTCTAGAGATTTATGACAGACAATAGTGTTATAATGTTACTACTGATAAAGTTTAAAAGTGTATGTTTTGAAACCACAATCTCCTACTTGTACTTATAGCCCTACAACTTGCAAAAAAAAAACAAACAACATGTAAACACCGGGTATTTTTAAACTCAGGACAAAATTTTGAATCTATTTAGCAAGTTTTTTCATTAGCTTTTGTAGATGAGTAAAAGTATTTCAAGTTAAATTCAAAAAACACATTTTTTTAAATTTTGCATAATTTTTTTAATTTTTTTAAAATTAAATTACATGAGATTATATAAATAATGGTATGTAAAGAAAGCCCATTTTGTCCTGAAAAAAAAACAATATATAATTTGTATGGGAACAGTAAATGAGAGAGCAGAAAATTACCGCTAAAACACAAACACCACAAAAGTGTAAAAAGAGGCCTGGTCGCAAATGTACAACATCGCAAAAACAGTCCGGTCCTTAAGGGGTTAACAAACAAAAAGTTCGCCGTTTTTTCTATGGGAAAATATTATTTCCTATAACCTCCCTAAACACACTCAACCTAATGAAATGAAACATAACTCTTTATTTGGTACACTGATTAGGACTTACAAATTAACAAGTTTGTGTCTGGATCTTCATCTCACTCATTCATTATTTATCCGGTCTACCCTAAATTACAGGTTGACCCAATCCCAATAATACCCTACCCCTCCCCCATTTCTAACACAACCTAACTTTTACTTTAATGCAACTGCTGGTGTAGTGTGTGAAAACTAATCTTCTGATCTGTAGCCCTAATAATAATTCATTTTATTTTTATTAGGTGGTTTGTCTAATAATTAAATGCCTGGTGTGCACGAACTTCATGATTGTTCCTGCTTATTATCAAAGTGAACATTTGGACTTGGCCTTGGTCTCTCTAATAACAAACTGTTTATGCAAGGATATTTTTGCCAATTAATATTAGTGAGCATACCAAAGGACATTATTTGACATCCTTATAGGTGGTATTAACACAATTTGAAAAATGCTGCATATCAGCAGTTGATTTATTTGCTGCTATGTTGAAACTATGATAATGATATAATAATTCAGTAACCAAAATACAATTTCTCTAAATGTTACAGAATTCGAGCCACATTACAGTAGTATCCATGAAGGTGAAGTAGGTTCAAGAAGAAGAGTAGAAGGTATGTACAAAAACTTAAACAGGATTGTGCAGATTTAGAATTCATTTTCTTTATTCTTGCCAAATCATGTTTTGATAATTTTGCTTTTAAGGCGTGTTTATATGTTCCCAGGTATACTCCAAAGTAAAGAGACTGACATTGTTTCTGACAGAGAGGATAGTCTTGTGGATTTAACAAATTTTGTTGGTCCCCCCACTGTCACAGCTATGATAGACTGGCCACGGCTACAAATCAGTGACACTGCATTTCGCAATTATACTTCAGGTACATTTTTTCTGTATTCAAGCTGTTTGACTGTGTTTAGTTGTAAATGGTAACATATTGTATATGGTTTCAACATTATTGCAATGGATGTACAGTACTTTCTGGGTACCTCTTGATCCAACATTGTATTCTGGTGTTAATTTATCAGTGTCATAACATTTTATCATTTACAATTACAATGTAGCACCAACATATTCCACAGCGTTGTACAACAGGAAAACAAGACTATCGAAAGAGTAAGGGACAAATGATCTGGATATACCTGAAAGAATAGAAAGGGTTTTTAGGAGGAGGAGGAGCACAGTGGATGAGAGAGAGCAGAGCAAGGTTTCCATAAATAAAGATTTTAAGGGGCAAACAAGGGGTGTTTTCTAGATTTTTTTTTTTTTTTTTTTAAAGACTCCAGAAACAGTGAGAATCAATGGTGGCAGGTGGGCCTTCCATGAGGAAGGGTCAGCCCATGAGAAGTTCTGCAGGTGTGAGTATGAGAATGGGACAGTAACAAGCCGTTAATGGAGTGAATAGCCTGGTGATAAAACCAAAGGCACAGTTACAGATAGCTGTATGAGAACATTGAAGTGAGTCCTGTCACGGGTAACTGTACAGAAACCGGGACCCCTGAGTGCCTGATGAGAAGTAGGAGTCTTCAGCATGGAAGTGGATTGCAGGGCCCAGAACAGGGTAACCGCTTCCCCCTGGTGTTGAGCACCAGCTTTTGTGCAGCAACATACCAGAATCTTGATTCAGCTTATGCGGATCCCAGGAACTAGGAGCAGGAATTAAGCAGACCTCCCAGGAGCTGAATAGGGAGACTCTGCAGCAGGAGTGTATACAGTACTGAAGCAAGGCAAGGCTAGAGATAGGCACCATACATGAAAACAAGACAGAACTAGGAGAACAGGGCAAGGCTAGAGATAGGCACCATACATGAAAACAAGACAAAACTAGGAGAACCCAGAACAGGCCAGAAAGCAGAACCCAGAACATGTACACAAGACATGAGGAAAACAAGAACATAACATGGGCATGACTGTACATGGACTGGGATTACAAGATAAAATAAAACAAGACAAGAGAAACAAGGTAAAACAAGAGGAGACATAACTAAGTACTATATATATATAAAAAGTATGGGGAATTAGTCACATTATATGATCATACATTGCACAAGCCTGCCAACAACACCAATGTACCCCATATCTGGCAGGTCCTACACTGCCTAATGCATGCTAAAATAACCATAGTAAACCACAATATAGCACTTACCTGCAAGAAAGGGCAGAGACTTGAAACACTGCTGCAGGTCCAGGCTGGAACAAAAGGAAAGTGGAAAACAAACAGGTGTGGCAACATAAAACAAACATTTAAAGGAAACCTGGAGACTAGGAATCCCAGGGATGGATTACAGGAATGAACCCAGAAATCCCAGCAATAAAGAAAACCAGACATAGACCAGAAAAACCAAGCAAGGACCGCAAAAAGAGTACTGGATACCAGAAGCCAAAGCCAAACATCTCCGCAGAACATGGCATGATGTGACAAGTCCTAAATGAAACAGGAGGCTGATGGAGACTGATGGATGGGTGTTGTTTGAGAAATAAAGGGCATAATGTAGAAGAGTCTGGCAGAGGCTTGAAGTCTGGGCACTTTTCAGGCCAATAGGCAGAGGGTTACAATAATCAAGCGGGAAATATCCAGAGCATGTACAAGCATTTTGGTTGCGCCCTGAGTAAAAACGTGTTAAGGCTTTTTTCGCGGCTTTGGTGATAAATTTTATGCAAGGAATGAAGGAAAGGTCAGAGTCAAGGCATACTAAGATGTGCCTATGGTGTAGAGGTTATAATCACTTTGTCGACCTGAAGGGAAACAAACACACACAAAGAGAGAGGAAAGACACAGTTCAGGTTGGAAAAGATGAATTTTAGGAATCATGAAGTTATTCAGTCAGAGACAGAGGATTTTCAGTTGGTGACATGATCCATCAGATGGGAATAAACATCAGATGAGGAGAGGTAGATCTTGGAATAATCAGTGTACATGTGATATTGAAAGCTATTGGATGATATCAGGTCACTGTCAGGATTACAAGTTGATCCAGCACGCAGAACTGTGTCACACCTAGGACTAAGGATAATGTATAACCGGACCTTAGAATGGCGGGACTTAACATATCCAACAATAGTCAAAATATTTGCCGAGGTCAGGAACACAGAATCAGACACAATGATGAGGTAAAGCCAAAAGTCAAGGATACCCAGAAGTCAGGGAAGTCAAAACAAAGCCAAAGTCAAATACCAGAAAATCAATATCAGGAATGCATTCTTGGATTACCATCTGGATGAAACCATGACAGGGCAATGAGCAAAAGGAGAATTGGGTTTAAATACCTCTCCTGTGGATCCAATTGGCTGTAACCGGCCTTTGACCCCAAAAGCAATTACCAGGTTTCCATGTGCATTATTGCTGCTCAGCACAAACCCTCCTGTTTGGCCATGACTGGCTTTTGACCCCAAAAGCAATTACCAGGTTTCCACGTGCATGATTGCTGCTCGGCACAACTTTTCCTGTCAGGACAGTAATGCTGTTCGGCACAACTTTTCCTGTCAGGCAAATGCCATAAACCACATTTTTCTGTGCGGGTGAATATGTGACAGTCAACAAGAAAGGCAGTGTAAATTGAAAAAGGAGAGGTTCCAGTACAGAATGTTGAGGAACTCCAACTGAGAAGGATACAGAATGGTAGGAGAAAATAGAGAAGGACACATTGAAATAGTGGTTAGGTAGGTAGAAAGAGTACCTCCAAGTTTGTAAAGGGTGAGGAATGGAAGCAAGTAGTGAGTCATATTAAATGCAGCAGAACGATCACGCACAATATTGCAAGCAGGGATGTGTCTATTGCAAGCTATACACAGCATCTGCCTTGGGTGGCACTTCGCAGGGTGCAGCAAAAAAAGCCACCCCAAACACCCAGGCAGATCCCTTGTTTGCCTCTTGTCCTGGGGAGCTCAAGAGCTGGCCGGCTGGTCACTTTTGAGCCCCCCCCCTTCACCCCCGAGGCTGGCAGCAGGCAGCGAGGGAGCATACTTACCTGAGCTCTTACTGCTAAGCTCCTTCCGTGCCGCTTAATGAAGCCGGGAGCCGGAATATGACTTCAGACCGGCTTCCGGCATCATTAAGTGCCGCCTACTCAGCCTGTCCACTGTGGGGATATTTATGGGATAATAATAGTAACAGTGAGAATTGCCCACTAATTCAATTCTCAGATCCCAAAGAACGTTTATCGTGTTAAGTGAGAAGTATTTCATATAATAATATCACAATGTATAAAAATAGATTTTTATTTATAATGACAAATTAATTAATAATAATATTATGCAACATGCATGACAATAATCAATGAATATCCAGTATAAAATGATATGCAATACAAAGAAATGGCTACACACGTCTCAACGGCTAAAACAGCATTTTCTGTCAAGACTTTTTTTATGACTATCTTTCACAGACATAGAGAAAGTTTTACGCAGAGAACAGAATTCCTCAGAGTGCAGCGTAAGGTCGTAAAGTTTAGCTGACAGTTAGAATAACCCTTTCAATGCTGGCTAAATCTCCAAGGTAGTTAAGATCTATTCTTATGTCATTTTAAATAAAATAACATTTAAACCAGTTCATTAGTCATTTCCTGGAACCATCCAATAAGAGAATCTACCATATTATATAAGCAGATTTTAATTTGTCTAAAAGATATCTATCTTAATTTAGAGCAAATCAATACACCTGGATAAAAACAGCGGTATGCTAACACGTGATAATATCACATCAATATATAATTATTCTTCCACCTGCAGAATGGAATGTTTATAACTATATATTCTTTAGTTAACTAAGATTTCTTAATATGGAAATCTGACCGTGCTTTATCCTAGTCATATATCATGCTATTAATACATTTTAATTAATTAAATTAAACCAGTATAATTACCAGTTGAGTAGATATTTCATCCAATTGGTAGTCTCAGGAACTTATTTGGATGTCTCTCTGCATGGAGGTTGGAGTCCCCAAACTTCCAATTCCTCTCTCGTCTTTTTCTTTCTCCTTTGCATACCTTGTCTTCCCTTTGTCTTAACTTTTAAAGGGCCAGACTCTCTGTACGTCATCAGTTGATAACCCAATAGAAGTACTAGAGGTGTGGTTATCTTCCGGATCGCAATTTAGTTATTTGGTCTATAGAGGGCAGTCTTGTCCCACTAAACATACCTATCCAGGAAAGAGTTAACTTTTCCTGGTGGCTATTTTGACGTCATTTTGGCCTATCTCTATCTTTGCTGTAACTTAGATTGCTGTCAGATAAAAACAGTTTCTTTAAGTTTTGTCCAGACTATGTGTCTGCAAATCTGAGTTTTGACCCGTAACTTACAATGGGACCTTATAGATATAGACAGTTAAATTTTATTATTTAATCTTCTCTGTCACAATTGTCTGGGTTTAGATTTGATTATATTCCATTAGCATTTTAGACAGTCTATCCAACCCCCGTTCTTCTTATCACTTGTTTATACTATGCATTCCTTTAGCTCTGGCAGAGTGGTTAGTTTTACAGATAGAAATCTTGTGTCTTTTTGTTAACTTGGAAATAACAAAATGGAGTCTGCTCTGTTCAGAGTGACTCAGAATATACACTTTTAATTTCTATCATAGCACAAGATGTCTGCCGATATAAATACCCTGACCCC